CTGCAGGTCAAGTGACTTGCCTTAGGTTAAGTGATCATAAGGAAAAGAAGTTGTCATTTTCTAAGTCTGTCTCCAGAGATAGCTATTTTTCTGCCACACCAATGGTCTCAAAAGAGGGAAATGGATACATACATCATCATCATAGGGGAAGAGGGTCACATGATGAATACTACACAGCTGAAAAAAAAAATGAACTACCACTACAGACAGCAACAAGTTATATGCACTAAGGAAGCCAGACTCAAACGATAAATGTCTAAGTCTGTGCATATGAAGTTCAAGAGCAGGCAAAGCTACTCCACACTGATAGCAGTTAGAATAGTGAATACTTCTGGGGGAATGGGGGGGCAGGGGGAGGACTGTCTTGGAGGGAGCATGAAGGAGCCTCTAGGGGCAATGGAAATATTCCTAACATGTCTGGGTGGCATTCATACACATGCATATGTATGTGAAATTCATATATGTATGTCATACCTCAATAAAAAAATGTTTAAAACATCTTAAGGAGGACATATGTAGTTTTTTAAATATATTCAATATTATAATTTCATATTTGGAAACCAAAAAATAAATCACTCTATTGCTTTTGAAACACAAACTTTAAAAGAATTTTCAAGATGTATATGTTTCTCCAAAGGAGACATATGTTTAAAAGACTGAGACGCACTGCGCTACATGGATCACATTCTGCCTCCATTCCCTGTGTACTTCTGGCTCCCTCGTTACACTCGGGGCATCTCTGAGGAAAGACACCGTCTCGGCCACAGCATAGGGCCTGCACACACACAGGAAGGGGCTAGTGATCCTCTCATGGGTTCCAGAAGTGTACCGGCAGGCCCTGTCTGCCCTCCACAGCTCATACCATGCTCAAGAGCCCAGGAATGCAGGCCTGAGACTGTGCCTCCCAGACCTGTCTATCATTCCGCCACATTTTGCAATTCAGAAAAAAGAGAAGAAAACCACTGCTGTGGAAAGCCTTGCTCTGAAACGAGGGGTGGCTGCTCAACAGGCCTGGCGGGGCGCTGAGCTGCTGAGCGTCTGACTCCACCCCAGTAATCATATAAAATTTCCCCAGCCAATGTCTCTGCCCCCTGTGGGCAGTTCGCTCTGCAGGCCGACTCCGGGCACAGAGAAGCTGCTGGAAGTTGCTCTTGCAGGCAACGGCCTTTGCTGTTCTTAGAACAAAGCCTTTAATTTGCTTGGCAGGAAGCTTAGTGTATTTCACACCGTCAGTCTCATCATGAACCCCCAAGAGAGGAGTGTGATCGTGAACCTTCTATGTTGAGCACCAGGTTTGTCGAGTCCTACCACGGGTCCTAGGCTGCAGCGGGCACGGAGGGGTGAGTCACCCCTCCCTCTCCTCCTAGGAGATCATGGTGGGACAAACAGCATTTGAGGGGTGGGCATTACCAGCCAACCAAGGCATAAATTTGTCTGAGAACCTACCGTGTGACGTGAGGGTTGTCAAGAGGGTGAAGTGTCTTTGGTGGCTAATAATGCCAAGCCCTGTGAATTAGCTGGGCCATGCCAAACACCAGAGAGAAAATGCGAAGGCTACTCTGCTCTCTTTTAATGGGGAATACTGTGGGTGTGTGGCCCCTGTCTGCAGTCTTTATTTTTCATCAGATCTCATAGAAGTTTCTGGAAAGTGCGTGCTCAGCTATCAGCTTATAATCACCAGTAGACAACAAGGCATAGTTGGGTCCAGGGATGTCCCAGACAGTGGGGGCTCCTGCCATCACCACAAAGTATGTGCCTCATCTTTGTCAGAGTCTGGGACATTCTTGGGCTTCGGCTCATTATTTTGTGTCAGTCCTTTGGAGAAGCCAGAGAAACTCTAAGAACTGATTATAGACTCACGAACTGCCCAGCCTCTCAGGACCCTTATCATTTTTAATTAGGACTAGGTGGACAGATGAATTGGCGGATCTCCTTTGAATACCACAACAGGGACCAAATGTAGTCAAGTGATGAAGCAATAGGAAGAAAGGGAGATGAGAGTCAGGAAGGTGACATCTGGAGAGGTTCCAGACAGTCAGAGTGGAAAGATCCTTAGAGATCTCCTAGTACAACCCTTTCTCCTGTGTTTGTAGCTGTTCCAGAGAAGGGCAGAAGCCAAGCTCATCCTCCAAGAGGTCTCAAGGTGGTAGTGGGCCTATGGCTGGGTCAAGTCTGACTCTCAGGCCATATAAACCAAGGTCAAGAGTGTCTCCCTCTTGTAATGAAGCTACAAAGATATTCTCCCAGTTAGTCTGTCTCCCTCCTCTGCTCCCCAAGTTTTCAGAATGAATTCTGTGGCTCTTTCATAAACCAGGACTGAATGGGGAGCCTGGTGCAAAGCCCACTCCCACCCTTGGGCCCACAGACACCTTACAGATGTTTCCTCATCTGCCATGAGACCCACAGGCCACCCAGCTAGCAGAAGCACTTCTCATAATTCTTTGCCATAATTTCATACTGATGGAAATATAAATCTCCCTCACATTCTCTCATGACCATTGAGAGGTATCTCTAATGTATGAGGTACCCTGAGGGTCACAGAAGTGAATTAGACACATTCTCTGCCTTTCAGAAATTCACAGTCTGGTAGAAGAAACTTGTATTCAGTAAAAGCATACCAGCAAGCTGTGAGACTATCACCAGGAAGGAACCAAGTGTCTATGGGGGCATCGGAAGGGGATTTCTCCCAGTTGAAGGAACCAAAAAGGGAAAACCACAGAATGAGAGGGATTTGTGTTGGACCTTTAAGGGACAAATGTTTGGACACATGAGAAAACAAGGGGGAACTAGCCAAGCAGGATGAGAGGACGCCGGGCCAAAACTGGGGAGATGAGAAAACGTAGAGTATGTTCAGAAAACACCAAATAGATTAATTTCACTAGCCAGAGTATGTGAAAGGATACATAAGAGATAAGACCACATAAGAAATGGTCTAATTTAATAGAAATCTAAATTTCAGAGGACCTCGAATGTCATACTGGAAGCTTAGACTTGGTTCACTAGGCAATAAGAAGTTACTGAAGAACATGATCAGAGTCAGGGCCGAAGGGATGGGAGGGGAGTTAGGAGTAGTTTGAGTGAATTTCATCTTCAGAAGAAAGATCTGGAAGCTTAAAAATCAAAGTCAGAAAATGCAGAGTTCTACTCTCAGAGAAAGAAAAGGTGTGCTTCCTTTTCAAGCTCATGCAATCTCTATTCACCAGTTTTCTCTCCACTACTCAGACTCCACCCTCACTTCTTGTTCCTTCTACACAGATCACAAAAGTCAAGTCTACTTCTTCTATTAACAAAACCAAATCTATATAAACTCCCCACTTTCTCACACCCTTTTCTTCACAGGTAAGCTCTATAAAATGATACCAAGCCTCCTAAAAATGAATGATTTTTATGCAAACCCCACTTTCAAACCACAGGGTATTTATAATAAGATCCATTTGTGGTAGGAATAAAATATTAGAATTTTAATGAAAAATATACAAATAAATTATGTTTTACTAATTCATTCATTTTACCAATTCTGCCATAATTCATAAGTAGAGTCCAAAAAAAATCAATCATGTAAAATTCAGAGTGATGTTCTTATGAGGTTAATGAAAAATGGCATCTGAGGGTCAGTTTGTACCATCACTAGAGACAGTGCCAGGTGAAAAGGACACATTATCTGCAAAGAATATCAGCAAACTTCTTAACAGCCCCAATAGACATCAGAAGTCAATAGAATATTATTTTCAAAGTGCTGATTAAAAAGAATTCTATACCTTGTTATCACTGAAGAACGTGTTGAAAGTGAAAGAATTTACCACTAACAGACTTTTACTGAAAAAAATCATTTTCTTCCTCCAAACAAAAAGAATGAAAACTAGGAAGAAGGAAACTGAATCCAAAAAATAATGAGATAGAAGAAGAGGTGGTGACTGAGTTCTTCTTTAATGTTATTTGAAATTTCATGACAAATACTACAAATGAAAACAAATAAACAACTACAGCAATGAATACAAAAAAAGAATAAGCATGTGCATGAACCTAAACAATAACAACATAAATAATGAAAATTATGATTAATTTTGGGGGTCATAAAAATCAAGATGAAACTAAAAATGTTGGACAGAAGAAACTTATAATATGGAACTTTCTAAAGTTTAAGCTTTTGAAAGCTTTCTAAATTATCTGTATTGTTCAAGAGGATGATAGCATTATTAATTAGCTTTGACACTGTTAAGTATACATAAAATAGTTTTTAAAGTAACCATTAAAAATAGGAAAAGAATACATAACTTTTGAATCAGTAGAAGGGTAAGGAAGAATTTTTTAAAGTGCTATTTATTCACAGAGGGTAGGAAAGTAGAGGAGAAAAATCAAAGCAAAGAAAAAAATGACAGAGTAAATTCAAATACATCGGTAATCACAAGAAATTAAATGTATTAAACTCAGCCGTTAAAACCCAGATCATCAAAAATTGCATCAAAAACTAACCTAGTTATATGCTGTTTACCAGAGACAAATTCAAAACAAAAGGACAGTTATTGTATGTACAAAGATGGAAAGAAAGGTATGACAGATAAATTCCACCAAAAGAAGCTTGACAAAATGGAGTTTCAGTTGAAAAGTTTATGAGACAAAGATGTCACTACCAGAAAATAAAAAGAACAATTTCCTAAGAAGATATTTCATTGTTCACACCTAGTAATCAAATTGCAAAATACACAAAGCAAAGATTGACAGAATTATCACGTGAAATCTACAAATCAACAATCACAATGGGAATTTTAGCACCTTTTTCAATAATTAACAAGTTAAGGGGAACCAAAGTTATCAAAGATATAAAAGATTGGAATCAAGATGAAAACGTGATCTAATGAGAAGAGCGAGCGAGCACTCCCTAGTGTAGACATTTTCTGTCTACACTTCCTCATCTCCCATTCACTCTTCAACCACCCGCCTCCAGTCCCAACACACCTATGAAATGACAGTCCCGAGATTACCTATGACCTCCCACTTACCAAATCTGTACTCGTCTGCTTTTAAAGCTATGGGAAACTCTCTGATAATTTCACTTCCATGACCAAGATTCCTTTTCCTTCCAACTCCCTCTCTCTGCTCATTCACCATTTCCTTTAGGTGTTCAGCTTCATCTGCTAGTCTTCCGCAATGTTCTGTCCTCCTTTCTTCTCATCCCATTCCACGCACCTCCCTGGTGACTTCATCTCATACCAAGGATTTATATCAGAAATGCAAATTCAGAGGCCAAGGGTGTGACTCGGGAGCTGACACAGATCCAGGTGCAGCCCGCAGACTCCCTCTGTGAGAACCTTGATGACTACCTGGGCTTGGTGATGGGCTTGGTGATGGCTGGGAGCCCTGGAAGGGAGATAGTCTCCCCCCTGGATTCACAGCAGGGACCATGTGTACCTTATTCAGCTTTACACTCAGCCCAGTGACGAGCCTGTGATAGATATTTGATAAAAGTTTGTTACCTGATCGAATATACGTGGAGTTTTACATGTCCTCTAGAGAGCTCCAGAAATACAGTCTGTTGAGGGATAGAAAGTTACCTTAGATCTCTGAGCTTCAACAGGGCTTCTGAATCATGCCAGGAGCTCTAGTGCAAATGACAGCCAAGATTATGGTCAAGGGTCAATCTAAACCAACGCCCCAGTGAAGCCACTTCTTGGACACTGCGTTTACTGCTTTGTAAAAACCAGACCACCGCCTTAAGTCATAAGACATTGTTTCTCTGTGCATTTTTTCCTGTCCCTCTTTTTCCCCCTCCCTGGTATAGAAACTGCCCTCCATCCATCACCCATGTGGCTATGAACATGCCACCAGCCCCTGAGAGAGGCAAGGCATGAACACTCATTGACTACAGACCAGAGAGAGTCGTCTTCTGGCCGAGGGAAGTGGCCATTTTCACAGACATTTCATAAGCACATACGCCAAACCCCAAGCTGCTGCAAAATCTGTCTCCTGTCCTCTCACATTCCTGAGGCAATAGAAGTTCATTTTCTCATCATATACTGTAAATTACAGGCTGAAAAGGTGGGTCGCGTCTGACTTCAGCCTATAAATAGCTGATCTTCCTTCTCTTCCTCAGAGGGGCCATTCTCACAGTGGCTTAGCTCAATGCATTCCCCGGCAGAGGCACAAAAACGCAGGAACAGAAATCAAATCTCCCTCCAGTGAGCCCAGGGGCAGACACTGGAGTTCTCCCTGCCTCTGAATCCGAGAAGCCCCTGCCCAGTGCACACGTATTTTTCTACCAGGCAACATCTAGGTAAATCCACTTCTAGTCTCTCTTCATCTCTCTTACGCACCCCTTCTGCAAATAGCTCCCAGCACTGCCCCGGCATCTTGTAAAATAAAAATCAAAGCTGAGCAAATAATTTAAGACTCATGTTTAAACCTTTTCCAGGTCCCTGAATTCATTGCCTCTTAAAGTGAAATGCCTCTGCCAGAGGCTCCTGAGGCCAGCGGGGATCACAGGACCCCCCCACACACACTGAAATATTTAGTCCAGCATTTAAGGAGCTCTTCACGGGGCACATGGAAGCCGGGTTTTAATCAATCAACAACATTATTTACCACCAGCCACATGCCTGACACTAAATAGATGTAAATGTGAGTGGAAAGCATGACTTTTGTCCTCCGACAGCACACAGTCAAGTGGAATAGACACAACCCACTCAGCACAACAACAGAGAACAGAAGAAAACTGGGATTAAGTGTCCGATCAAGTGGAACAGACAGCAGGATAAGACTCCAGGAAGAGCGGCTGCTAAAGGCAGAGGCTTTGGAGGGGGGCGCCGAGCTGGCAGGCGCTGGAGAGATGGAGGAGTCGAAAGGAAGCACCTAAAGCCAGGAAAAGAGCAGAAGCAAATACGAGAAAGCAAAATAAAAACCATGTTTGAGGAGATGTGTCATCTTGATGTGTCACATGCAAAAAATGCATGGTCACTGTCATGGCTGAATTGTGTTTCCCCCAAAATTTTTATGTTGAAGTCCTAACCATCAGGACCTCAGAATGTGATTCTATTTGGAGAAAGGCCCTTTAGAGGTGATAAGGGTGAAATGAGGCCATATGGGTGGTCCCTATTCCAACAGGACTGGTGCCATTGTAAGAAGAGAGGATTAGGACACCACTAGGCACAGAGGGAAGATCACATGGGAACACAGGGAGAAGACGGCCATCTACAAGCCAAGAAGAAAGACCTCAGAAGGAACCAACCCAACCCTGCCAACACCTTGATCTGCCAACACTTCTAGCCTCTAAGATTTTGAGAAGATGAATTTCTATTGTGTGAGCCACCAGGTTTGTGGTGCTTTGTTAGGGCAGCCTAAGCAAACACATTGAGCTTCTCTCAGAAAGAACTCTCTGGAGGCAGCAGGGGCTGTCCCAAGAATTCAGGCACAAGGCCTTCTTGGCCTGTACCAAGGCAGAAGTTGTGAGAATGGAGATGCCAACATGGATGGGAGGGAATTAGAACTAGCCTGGGCCACACGTTCCTTAGAGGGATGAAGGAGGCTGTGGAGGTAGGAGGTCTTTGGCATCTCAGGAAGAAGGAATCCAGGGATGCAGGCCACCACTTCAGGTCCTAGGAGTGACCTTCTCCACAGAAACCAAGGGACCCCTCCCTGCCTTTTCCCAGCCCCCAGTCTCTGTGCAGCATGAGACACTCAGGGCAAGGGATGCTGATGAACTGTCCTGCAGAGCCAAGTGGTCTGTGCTCACTGGAGCTTGGAGCATCTTGTTAGACAAAAGCCCTACATCATAATGCAGCACCTGTTCCAGCACTTCTCTGCCCGGCTGAGTTAGAGCCAGGTGGGTAGTCAGGGAAGAAACCCCTTCTGGGAGAACTAGTCATTAGGAGCCCCTGGGAAGCAAGTGCCTATCTCTTCACTCAGTGTCTGGAATCCTGGACTCCCCAATTACTCAGTTCTAAGAGTCTCAGCTGCAATCACCAATGACTTCAAACCTCAGACCCCACAACTCCTGCTGGCATGGGGGAGTCAGCAAATATGTGACTCCTTAAAAGCATGTGGCCTCCAGGGACACCCCTAACTTCCCAAGATACCTGACAAGCTAACAAGGACACAGAGCACACTCTGTGTAGGCACTAAGTGCCTTTCATGTGTTGACACATATAATTCTCCAAACAGCCCTATGGCAGCAGTGCAAATTGTACCCCAATAGTACACCACTCTGCACCTGCCAGAAGGGCTACAATGAAAAAGAAAATATCAAGTGTTAGTGTGGACAGGGAGTGGCTGGAAATCTCCCTCACTGATGGTTGCACAATCACTGTGCAAAAATGTCTGGCAGTATCTGCTAAATCTGAACGTACATTTTCCTTAGGACCCAGCCATTTCATTCCTAGGAATGTACTCAACAGAAATCGGTGCATAAGTGCACCAGAAGATATGTACAATCGCAGCACTGTTGTATGGGAATGCTCCCAAATTAAAATGGAAATGAATAACCACAATTATCCATAACAATATGGAGGAATCTCATGAACATGATATTGAAAAAAAGAAATTAAACATAAAGGACTATCTATTGTGTTATTCTATCTATGTAAAGTTCACAAATGGGCAAAACTAATTAATCTGTGGATTTAGAGGTCAGGATGGTGCTTCTCCTTTGGGTAGGGGGCGCACCCTCTCCTACTCTGGGGAGGGATGAGGGAAGGTTCTGGGGTGCTGATGATGGTCTGTTTCTTGAAGGAGGTGTTGGGGTGCAGGTGTGTTCATTCTGTGAAGATTCAATCAGCCTTACACATACTTGTGTGCTTTTCTCATATGGATATTATGTTATATTTGAATACAAAGCTTTAAAAAATGAAAATCCAATCTGATAGGAAAATGACTTTCTGCATTGAGGAAAATAGAGCCCAGAGGGCTAAAGTAATTTTCCCCAAGGTCAGAGCCAGGATTTGATCCCAAAGTACTCTGGCTTTCAAAGCTAGTACTCAACCACTACCTGTGTCACCTCTTAGGAGAACAGAGTGTCTTAGCACATGTCCTGCATTAATTCTTATGCAAACTCTGCAGACCCCTATGCACAGTGCTTGGTATTTAATAGGTGTCTAATATATGCCCTGTGTGGAATGAATCCCACCAGAAACCACTTCCAACAGGTGACATGATTTCCACAAGCCACAGCATGGCCAACGGGTAAGAGCCAAATCAGAGAGACATATACCTACGCTGATATCACAGACAATAGAATTATTCTTTAGACTCCGAAGCCATTTCTCACCCACCCCATCCTGTTCCTCCTAGAAACCCCATAGAATGGACCAGTCTAGGCCTGAATTTCCCCTGGGTTGAACACTTTTGTGGACAGTCGATAATGGACTCTCCTTCCAGGAGCCTTGGGAAACCTATTTCATGCTGGCATTTAGAAAGATGTCTCCAGACCTCAGGGACTGACTCACAGCTCAGGAGGCTGCTCAAAGGACTTTAAACACAGAGTATGGGATGTAAAACCAGTAGAAATCAAATTGGACAATCATTTTTCTAGAGAGGGGCGGGTGCCTGACTCGACCATTCACTCGCACACCCATCTATCCGACAAGCAAGCGGCATCACATGCACAAAGGCAAATGAGACACCGTCCGTGCTGCCGTGGGCTCAAATGGGATCGAGGAAGCAGATGTGGAAAACAGTGAACCTGACCTCTATAAGCCTCATAACATTCCTACCTCATAGCAGCTAGAGTTCAGTGAGGCAATGCAGGAGGAGATCGGCACGTGCTGAGCACTTTGTTACAGTTAGCCATTATTATTACTGGCAATAATATGCTGCAGAAGTATTTGTGGGTTCCAGTGAGGACCCAGAGGAGGTCATGGTCGGTGAGTTGGTGCAGGGTGATCACAGAAAGCTTCATGGCTCTGATGCTCCAGCAGAGCTCTTCTCGGTGGGGGCATTTCAAGGACATCAGGGGGCCTTTCTGCCTGAAGACTGCCCCCCGCCTGCCCACTTGCATCTTCCACAGAAAATAAGGGAGCCCAGAGCCCAGGGGCATATAGGACGCCTCAGTCCTTTCAGCAAAAGCCACAGCCTCAAGGCACCTGCTCTTTGGGGAGCACTGGTGCCCGGATACAGCTGCTCACAGTCAACTCCTTCAGCTCATTCTGCCAAGCAGAGCCTGCCCCCGCCACCTCCAGCACATGCATTTCCTCTCCTTCCCTATCTACTGTGACTTTACAGAGTCAGATCTGGATTTCTGCCCTAGGCTGATATTGATCACTCTATGCCCCAAAGAGCCCACCTCTGCATCCACTGCCTTGCTCCCTGGCCCCCTCAC